ATTATGAATAATTATGTGTGTAACTTTATTGTAAAATTATAATTATTATTAAATATTGATATACATATATATTCAATAATCTCTACGTACTCAGCTAGTTAAAAAAGAACTAATTTAAATTTTTTATTCTTTAACACAAAAATATACACGCTTCTTCAACTTTATTAGAATTAATACAAATAATAACAACAACAGAAATCGTGGCAGTGCACATTACGCCAATCAAGATCGCGATATAGCCGCCCCAGTTACTAGCAACAGAGGCACACATCCACCGTAAGTAGTATATTACAGTTTTATAATATTATATGTTTGCTAGACGTTTATATATGTATTTCTAGACGTACACGTCCTACATTGAAACCATCCGGTACTATTGTTTCAAAAGCACAAGAATTTATTGATATATACAAAAATCCACCAACTCGTCCAGATCCATTATATCCACAGCCTACACCAGATAAAACTGCAGCTAAATGTCGCAAGGACGTTTGTTTATTGCCAGACTGTTCTTGTGGTGGCAAAGATATACCCGGTATGTATAATTTTAGTACAGTTAATGCTGTTTTCTTGACAATATATACATATAATATTTTGTGATTTTAAAAAAAGTTGCTATAAGCAAACCTATTCCGAATTTCATAGTACAGAAGTACAAGTACTCATATTAATGCTACATAAACTCAATGTTGTCTTTTGTAATTCAAATCAAATCTTTTTTGTTATAGAATTAAATTTACAAATTTACAACACATATTTTTTCTAAAATAAATTAAATAAAATATATTTATATATTTTGACGCCTAAAGTTTACTTTAGTTTTGAATAGAAATCTCCATTTAGCTTGATTTAAAAATAAAGATAGATTTTTGCTTAATGAAGCTGTGTGTGTGAACATAGTTATAAATAAGATTTGAAGTGGATATTTGAGTTTTTCTGCTCATTACTGAAAATAATACTGCACAATTTTTTAAGAGGTAATGTGACTGGGTTAAGGTTTGTTTCATCTTCAGAAATAATTGATTTGTCCGTATTCATGACCAGTCAGTTGATATAACTGGATTAAAGTTTCTTTCGTTTCTATAGATAATTTATGTATCCGTATACATTAATTGCCAATTGCTAGATCAACTTATTTTGAACTAAAATAATTGGCCCTTTAATTTTAATATAAAAAATTTAACAATAATTTCGAACAATTAAAATCTAGGCGACTTAAGTCTGAAGGAAACACCACAAGTAGTATTAATAACTTTCGATGATGCTGTAAGTCAACTCAATATTGAATTATATGAGGAACTTTTCAATAATGCGAGCCGCAAAAATCCGAATGGTTGTCCTATACGTGCCACTCTCTATGTGTCGCACGAATGGACCGATTATGGTATGGTACAGGATCTCTACGCAGATGGCCATGAAATGGCATCACACACAGTATCGTAAGTTTAAGATTGAGTAGCAAAAACAAAAATAAAACCAAATCAAATATAAACATTGAATGGGGCTAATGTATTTGTTTACTTCTCGCTGTGATTGAACCTATGTCATCTATATACTCTGTAAAGCATTTCCATATATATTTTAATTTTTCGACGTTGGTGCAACAAGTGCTAAGCTGATTTATTTATGCAAGAACAATAAATGTTTATCAAATGTTATTTCATTTTTTTATTAAATTTTATTTTATTTTATATTTATAATTTAATTATTGATTCATTTAATTTTTGTATATTAATTTAATTTTTTTTCTTTTTTTCATGGCATTTTTTACTTTTGTTACGCCAAATCATCATATAAAATCATTGGTGACACTGTTAAAAATATTTAAAAAAATACATAAATTGCTATAAATATATATATATGTATTGTAATGCATTTCATATATTTTGTGCAACATTCCCCCCACTCCAATACAACCACTATCCAAAAAAAAATGTGTGTATGAATTAAAAAAAATGTGAAGGTGATTTACCTGTTGAAAGTGTACCACAAATTGTCTTGTTGACTTTTGACGATTCCGTAAATGATCTCAATAAGCAATTGTACACTGATTTATTTGAAAAGGGACGTGTCAATCCAAACGGTTGCCCCATAACAGCAACATTCTATGTATCACACGAATGGACTGATTACAGTCAAGTGCAAAACTTATATGCCGATGGTCATGAAATGGCCTCCCACACCGTATCGTAAGTAAAAATGATGAAATAAATATATGGTCTTCAATTAGAAACCCAAGTTCGACATCAACACTGACACACAAACAACTTAACCAGCAGAATGTAGTATGAACTATAGTATCGCACGCCTTAGTAAAAATTACTGTATTGCACTTTTCTAAAGAACTTCTTCTGACTTTAATATTTTACTAAGAAAGTAACTTTAATTAAATTGATAATGTATAAACATACACACACTCTCTTCTTTAATATACAAACATATAAATACTAATATATATACATGTAGTTTTGCTTTATAAATATAATGCTTAAAACCATACATTATATGTTAATATGTTTCTCTCTTAATACTTACGGATGCAATATTAATATTATTATTACTTAAATAAACATATATAAATAATTAATACTTTATAATTAATTGTTAATTATTTTACTATTAAACATTATGATGTTATATTATTAAATATTCTTATCATATACAAGTGTAGTATATACTATTCAGCGAATATGAACCGTTTGTCTATAATACAGAGATATATTTACATATAATATTTACATATAAAAATATATTTTAATATGTCGTTTGAAATATGAAATTTGTTTTTAAATAATTTAGAGAAATTTTGAGGTTTTCTAATAATATATATACATATATATATATTTATTTATTTATATTTATATTTATTTATATTTATATATATATTAATATATAATATATTATAGAACTGTTATATATACACTAATATTAACAACTTAATATCACATCACAGTTGATTCGCCACCCAGGCTTATAACTAATCATATTTAATTATACATTAATTTAATTATTATCTAAATATAACATAAAAAAATATAAAAAAAATATAAAAAAATATTAAAAAAAATATTAAAAAAATATAAGAAAAAAATATAAAAAAATATAAAAAAATATAAAAAAATATAAAAAAATATAAAAAAATATGAAAAAATAAAAAAAAATAAAAAAAAAATAAAAAAAAAATTATATAAAAATTTGTATATAAAAAATATATAAAAATTTATTTGTAAAAATTTTTTTGAAAATTTATATATAAAAAACAATGAAAAATTAAAAAATTTATGAATATAATACAATATAAAAAAGGTATAAAATAATAAATAATAAAATAAAATATATAAAATAATTTTTACACTAATTTAATTTTAAATTTATTGAATATATTTAAAATATTTATCATCATCGATATATGTATGTATATAAATACATATTTATATTAATTAAGATTCAATTTTAAATTTATTTATAAACAATTGATTTATAAATTTAAAATTAAAAATGTTGACTTTTATATTTAAAAACAAAAGTGTTAAAAAATTATAATATTATTAAAAAATATATTCGCAATCTCACGCTTGACTAATAAAATTTTTCTTAATAAAAAAAAAAAAAATAAATTAAAAATTTTTAAAACAATATAAAAAATCTATAAAACACACATACAAACCATTTTAATTTTAATTTTATGTTTCTTACAAAATAAAAATATTTTTTTGAAATTATTTTAATAAAATTTTATTAATTCTCATAAAACAATACCAACAACAGTCACAGTTTTGGTGAACAATTCTCACAAAAGAAATGGACACGTGAAGTGGCTGGACAACGTGAAATCCTATCTGCCTATGGTGGAGTCAAATTGTCTGATGTTCGTGGCATGCGTGCTCCATTCTTATCGGTTGGAGGCAATAAAATGTACAAAATGTTATACGATTCGAACTTCACTTACGATTCATCAATGCCAGTCTATGAGAATCGTCCACCTTCTTGGCCTTATACACTTGATTACAAGATCTTCCACGATTGCATGATACCGCCATGCCCGACCAAGAGCTATCCTGGCGTCTGGCAAGTGCCTATGGTTATGTGGCAAGATTTGAATGGTGGCCGTTGTTCCATGGGTGATGCTTGCTCAAATCCAAGTGAAGCTGATGGTGTCTATAAAATGATTATGAAAAATTTCGAAAGACATTATACAACAAATAGGTAAATTTTAATAATGTATTTCATTGGTATAATATATACCTATATGTACATGTATATATATTTATATATTATTACTAGTGTTCTTAGAATGTATGGTATGTCATAAAAATACTATATATTTATACAATATATATACTTATTTCAAGACTAAAAATTATTTATTATATACATTAGACTAGTATATAGCACAAGCCATATCCAAAGTAACTTTTAACAGTACAGACACTCTTCTAAATTAAACAAGGAATAGTATCAATATGCTCATGTCCTTTCTTCCATTGTCATTGTTTGATAGGTAGACTTTTGCAGAAGATGTTAGAATTACGCATTTGTTATTTTTCTGCCTGACTCTTTCCAGAAAAAGTGTCAACACTTTAGAAGAATTCCACTCTTCAGAATTCAGAATTGTTGACAACAAAACTGTTTACATTTCTACTAAACATTCTACTACATTCGAGAGTTTCGAGAAGACTAGGTAAATTTCTCAGTAGTATCATATCGGACCATTGATATATGTCAGTCCCAATATTTGTTATAGTATATATATATATATATATATACAATATATATGCATATATATGTATATATATATATATGGTTACTACTAATTTCACTTGGCGAAATTTAGAGGAGACCGACGGATATAACGAATAGTATAGCCTACAATATATACGATGTATAAACGTATTATATACGATATATACTTTTGAGTGAAATAAACATGCATTCTTACATCAACAATCTTACATATATATGAAGTTATCCGACTCTTGACATTTTACTGCAAAAGTAATTAAACTAACTAAATTAAACCTTAGTGAAATAATTACTTCGAGGTCAGATGAATACACTAAACAAATCACAATATAACATTTATATAGAATAATAACTGTCTTTAAATAATAACTGGCTTTAAGTTTTGATAAATAGTGACTAGTTAGTAAATAGATCATCAGTTGTTGACGTGATTGGAATCTCCGAGGCAAGTTGATATAACAACCAGTTTACAATGAATGGAAAAATTTATTATTTTGGATAACTTTTTCCACTAAGCAGCTATATTCCGATATAGCAGAAACTATATACGTCAACTACCGGCAACTATTGCATGCAATCCTTACATTGACTACTCTAATATTTAAAATACTTTTGTAGAATAAAATATCTAGGAAAGACTGTTGCTTGTGGGCATCTGATGGCTAAATCTTTGATAGAATAATTATCTTTGTGAAGGCTATTGCTTCCCTGTCAAAACCAAATTTTATATGTTGTTTAAATATATATATATATTTTTAAGTGTTTGATATTGACATCGTTTTGTGTTGTTTTTTTTTATGCAGAGCTCCATTTGGTTTATTCTATCATGCTGCTTGGTTCACACAGCCACATCACAAGGAAGGTTTTATTAAATTTTTGGATGCTATCAATGCCATGCCCGATGTTTGGATTATAACTAATTGGCAGATGTTGCAATGGGTCAGAGATCCAACACCAAACTCGAGAATTAATTCCTTCCAGCCATTCCAGTGTGATTATTCCGTATGTTTTGTATATATAAAAACTAATATATAAGAATCATAAATCTAAACATTTTTCATATATGAACAAACAGGATCGTCCAAAACGTTGCAACAATCCAAAAGTATGCAATTTATGGCATAAATCCGGTGTACGGTACATGAAAACATGTCAGCCTTGTCCTGATATCTATCCATGGACCGGTAAGACTGGCATACGTTCATCACGAATCGATAACGACATTGAAGATTCAACAGCGTAATTTCAAGATCTTTAACCGCAACTAACTAACAGAAAAAAAAAAATTATAATTAAAACAAAAACACAAGTTCGATATTATTTAAATTTTTATTAAAAGTAAATATTAGCATAACTTTTTAAGCAAAAAAAAAAAAGAAAAGCAAAACTTATTGAAAACAAAAAGCATATAAAAATTAAAATTTAAACTTCTAATTGGTCTTTACGACTGTGGACTGTGGACTGTGCAACTCGAATAGTCCGCCGCAGTTATATTGTATATTATATTATTTTAAAGCAAACGCTACAAATGTCAAGATAATGTTTTCCAAATGCACAAAATATGTAATTCACTCGTTGTTTTTAATTTTGAAACAAAAACTATGAAAAACGAATTTGTAAACTGAAAGAAAAAAATTGTTAATTGTTAAAAATTAAAAATTTAGGTACTCAAAAATGATTAGTAAAATGTTTTTATTAAAATATTTTTTTATATATTTATTCTATTATTTAAATAAAATAATTAAATTTTTTTAATGTTGTTGGTAACGAATTTTAAATTGGCCTATTTAACAAAATTTTTAATTAAAATACTTAAAATTAAAATTTATTTACCTAATGTAAATAAATAAATACATTTTGTAAAAATATGGCCACGATCATGCGCAATATTAGTATTAAATTTATATATATGTATATGTATATAATAAATATATATATATATATAAACATACGTAAGCAGTTAGAAAAACAACAAAATTTTGTAAATTATTTTCATTATAAAACAATTATATACATTATTTTATATTTATATATAAATATACAAATCTATTAATATATATTTTTATTGATTAATTTTAATTTGTGATAATTGTATTTCTCTAAACAAAATTTTCATTTTTTTTAAACAAAAACAGAAACAAAAACTGTTATATTTTTTATAATTTATCTGTGAAATGTAATTCCATCTATTTTAATTTTTTTTTTCCATCTTATATGTATTTTTCGATTAAACTTTCATACGAATACTCGTCAGCCTTTTTGTGAACGAAATAATAACGTAATCATAAGTTAATTATTTACAAGAAATTATTTAAATCAAAAAAACATTCTAACCAATTTCAGTTAATGGTACTTTCTAGATTTGAAATTTAATTCCATTCCATTGAATTTTAAAATACTATGCACTCAATCAGTCGGCAACCATTTGGAAAATTATTACATACATTATTTTAGTTTATTCTATGATCCATAGAATATTGCTCCAAATTGTAGATACACGTGAACAATTCCTTATTAATTTTATACTATTTTTATACTATTTTTTTTATTACATTAATATTATAAGGCTAAATAATTATATTTCGAAAATGCTATTATATCACTGCCTAACTATTTTGCATATTATATTATACACAAATGAGATACTTTCCATTTATAGTTACTTATCAGATACACTAATATATATATATTAGATATGTGCGTGATTTTTTTAAATGTCAAAAAAGCGAAGTGTCTTACTTTAAAATATGTTTTCAGTTTTATCCATTAATTAAGTTATATAACTAATTTCTACATATTTTCGTTTATTACAAAAATGTTACGAAAAGTACTTATAGTTTATTTGATTTGATTATTTGAAGGTTTAACTGCTAAAAGCACTTCGTTTTGATTTATTTTTTATTTCAATGTATACGCACAGGCTTAATAAATAAATCTATAAATAATTAATTATAATTAACTTAAACACTGCCAATATTTTGTAATTATCTTACATTTAAAGTTTAATGTTTTTATTGAATCCCTGCTTTATACTATAAACCTCCCGACTATTATATTCTATCCATATCATAACTATATACATCATATCCTAAAATTGTAGTACATTTAACCAAAATAATTTTTAATACTTTGTTGTCAATTTTTTCCAACTTCACATAAATAATTAAAATAATAATTAAAATAAAAATAAAATAATTAAAGATTAGATCAGATAAAGATTAGATTAGATAAAGAAGTGCCCGATCACTAATTTTTTCTGGAACATAATGGTTTTTCAGAGGAACCTTCTGTGACAGTTCTTAAATAAATTTCAACTTTATATAATTCTCTTTAATATTTAAAAAATAGTTACAGCTTTATATATAAAAATGACTTAACATTGAGATTTGTGTGGCTGTTATTGCGAGTTAGATCAAACCCATTATTATGCCCATATTAAAACTGTATAGTAAGTAGAAATACAGAACTATATGTAATCTTTTTGTCTATTTCTATTTCCGTCTATTTATTATTTTGTCTATTTCTATTTCCGTCTATTTATTATTTTGTCTATTTAATTTTTTTTTTTTATTTTAATACGATTTTATGATAAATTCTTTATGAAGCCACACCACAATAATTAAGAAAATCGCTCACTCTTATTCTATAAATTTTATAAGATATATAGTTCCTTTAAGCTCCCATTTTATCGAAATTGATGAGTTAGAGTTAATGTTCATTTCATTCTTGACCTTTCAAAATATGTACAATGTACTTGTTCTTTTTAAGCTCTCTTAGAAACCCGTAGTCTGGTAATTTACTCTTTAAAATCCTTCCGTAGAGTCCTTAAGTTTGTATTGCAAGTGATATCCACTTGATATCAATTTTTTGTTTGAAGTTTGAGTTTTTATCTATTCAAATTAAATATTAAAAATATGTTCAATTTAAAATTTATTATTAATATATAGTTTTCAATCTGCAATTGTTAATACTTAAGCTGTTATTCTTAAATTAATTCTTTATTGTTATAAAAGACATATGTGCGAGACTTTCTTGCATATAAAATTGATCGAAAAGCTTAAGGTTACTATATGTTTTATATATTTTATTGTATTAGTAGCAGTCTTTCATATATCATAACAGTACCTTTATTAAGCATCTATTTTTTCAACTTTTTGGTTTTATAATTATAATAATTATTATAAAAATTATAATTATTATTTATAATAAAATTATAAAAAAAATAATAAAGTATAATTATTGATTAATTATAATTATAATTATAAAACTCCTTTCTTGAACACAAGATATATAACTCCTTTCTTAAAAACAGGCAATCTTCTAAAAATTTTATCAGTAACTTTATGAAGAGTTTTTTCTATAATGTATGAGTTCAATTTTAAATAAACTTGGTTCTTATATTTTTTATATATATCTTTAAATTATTTCAAAGTTCCCTTTTATTCAACATTTTAGTTTTGTTTTTTAACTCTTCTTGAATTGCACTGTGTACTCTATATTCATACAGGCTTATTCGTCTATAACTCTTTCAGTAGTAGAACTTAAAATAATTTTACTATCTATATCTATATATCTATATAATAGTTTTTGCTAACAGTTTTCTATTATTCTTAGATAAATTTTTATTGTACTCAGTTATTAGTATTTCGATTGATTTTTCTTTACAAAGTCCTGAAAAATATCATTATATATGTTTATAGCTATTTTGCTAAATTTGTCTTAAAGAGTTTTTCTATGTTTTTAAAGGTCATTTCATCTACTACTTCTTCTACTTCTTTATCTTTTAATATATTCTTTGTGGTGATTTTTTACTTTAAAAATACCTTTGTTTTTTTTTATTTAACTTTTTAGAAACAATTATCTCTCACTTAACAAACACTTCGTTTACGCAAATTACTTAGTTTCATATTTCAAATTTTATATTTCATAAAAAGAATAACTCATATAAATTTTCCGCTCGTGAGCAAAATATTCACTAAGCGAAAACTATAATAGCTCGTAGATAATGAACTCTTTTTGCTGCTTTTTCTTTTCTCTAACCTTGACTCGAATTTGTTCTTTTACATTATATATACCTGTTCTGCATAACCATTCTTTTATATAAAAGTCTGTCTTTTTCATAAATTTCTTAAACTACTCAAGCTGATTATATCTATTGTAATATTCAAAAATAATTTTTATTAAATTTTGTAGCATTTATTACATTTTACTTTTAATTAAATAATTTTATTTCATTAAAATAAATATTTTTAAAACTAATAGATTGGTCAAACTATATTCTTCTCATAACACATGTCTTTGGATTCTGTCACTACTTAAGCCTGCTTTTTTAGTGATCAATAAAATTCATTCAATAGTTGTCATTCAATAGTTCTATGGAATGCAAAATAATTTCTCAGGATTTTTATGATATATATATTGACTTTATATTGATACTACACATATCAACTGTGTGGGTTTCGATTACATTATAGTCTTTTTGTTCTTAATGTTCGTTTAGATTTACATTTAATTGAAAATTTTTAACTTAATTATGTGCTCACCAGAAATAAATTAAAATATTTTTAGTTTTATTTAAAGCTACTAAAATATTTAACCTTTTCATACTAGTTTAATAAATTAATGGCTAGCAGCTTATATGCAGCATATGATTGGATGCAAATATGCGCAGAGACTGAAGTTTAGATGTGCCTCTGTCTAATACATACAAAGGGAGACCAAAAAAAAATCTGCATTTATAACCGGGTCTGCACCCGGTTCGGTTACTTAGAGCGCTTTTAAATCATGTCAGTAATTTCATAATAGTATTTATTTTATTAAACAGTCATGACGCTATAATGAAAATAGATTTGTATGTATATAGTTCATCGATTTATTTCAGAAAAAGCCACTTGATTTAATTCATCCTCATTTATAAGGTACCCGCAGCCAACTGTCCACCAATTGATTGGAGCTCTTCAGTATGGCTGCAGTTCTCCCAAATCTACTATTGATCTAATATTTATCATACAAAATATTCTAATTATGATCATGACATCGTTTTATTCTCTCTGTGAGTACATCGCTTCTGTGATCAATTTAAATTTTACTCGATTAGGTGAATGGTTAATGGCGTCCCTCTTAGAGTATTTTTTGAACCATAGCTCTTCTCAATGTTAAATTGAATAGGAATTTCAAGACTTTCTATATAATAGCTCTTCTCAATGTTAAATTGAATAGGAATTTCAAGACTCTCTATATAATAGCTCTTCTCAATGTTAAATTGACTAAACAAAACTAAAAAATCAATATCTCTATTAGTGTTTTACTATAATTTTTGTACTACAAATTCCCTTCCAACAGAACATCTTCTAATCCATTCCTTATTCTTTTCCATTTTCATTATAATTCAGATGTTCCTCTACTTTCTTTTCGTTCCTTCTGGATAATCTTTCTTCTTATAACTCTATTCATTTAAGGTTTTTATGATTTTTTGTAAGACTTAAGCTCAATTACTGGAATGACCTTATCATCATTAAATTTTTTTAAGCACCCTACTTCAGTGGTGTATGTGCACATTTATATATAGTACATATATTATAACATAACAATAACATATATATTATGATTCACTACATTTTCTATGTTTATAGCGATAGAAAATAACAACATAGAGTTTTTCATTACATTACTATATATATATATATATGTATATATACTATTTTAAAATAGTTGTATAAAATAATTTTACTATAAGCTTAAGAATTACATATGCAGTAGTATACATGCATAAGAACTTTAGATTAGGCTAAGCATACGTTGTAGCAATTTTAATGGAAGTCCTAGTGTGTATTGGAGAGTAGATTTGTTGTTATATATAAAATTAAGGATAATAGGAACTTAATTGATTCAAGTTAATTAAACTAAATTAAAATAAAAAATTTGTTTATGTATTAAGTTTTAAAGAAACGTGCGTGCCAGCTTGGGATTAGTTGGCCCATTCGCACAGAACAAATTGTGAATGCTGGTAACGAAAAGATTGGGAAACTTTAATAGTTTTTTATTTACAATATAGCATATACTCAGCCCTAATAATAATTTTGGATTGAAGTATTTTTATTGTATATAAGAGTAGATAGATAGAGCAGACTGGCTTTGTAATGATTTGAATATAAAATTGATTCAAGTTGGTTTTCTCTTCACAGGTATGACTTTAATTGGTCTCTAATATAAACGAAACTTGAAACTTGAAAATAAATACAAAAATATATAAAATAATAGATATTAATTTAGTTTATAAAAAACATAAAGCATATATAATATTGTAAAAGTCATTTGTGAAAGCAACAATTAAGCAGGATTAGTTTTTGAAACGATTGCCAATACTTAGCCGTGTTAAATGACTATTATGAAATGATTTTAGTATATAAATAAATATATATATATATATATTGAACATATATATATACAATTATAAAATTAATTTTAAATATTTAATATTATATACTTAATATATTCGAATAGAGAGGAAGTAGTGCTTAAGCAAAAATATATTTTTTAAATAAATATAAAAACATATTAATTCATTTATATGCATAAATACACACCTTACACATATATATATTACTTATTTTTACTTGTATTATTATATTAAAATTAAGTATTTTTAAAAATTTATTAATAATAAACTAAATGTTTATATAAAGGTTTTAAATATAAAAAAGTATTACAAAAGTTGTATGTTATTATCTTACAATAATTTGTTGTAAAACACATATGTATGTATGTATGTAGTAAGTTATGATATACATCAGTAGAGTTTTAAATAATATTCATATGTGTCTATTATAAATATTAACTATTACTATATGTTATTTACTATATGTGAATGACGTTATCATTTATTAAAAAGGAAATCATTCAAATTATTTAAAAATCAAAAAATTTATTTAATATTTCTAAAATTTATTCAAAATCATTAAAAATAAGAAACGAGTGAATAAAGTATTTTGTGCTAAATGCTTGTAAATCAATTGAAAATTTACGAAATAATATTACTAAATAAATAAATCGAAAAAATATGGCCTTTTGTTGAAATTTTTTAATGTTTAATTAATGTATGATCTCAACGCTAAGTATCCACCTTAACACAAAAAAGAGAGAAATAATGCGAAAGAAAATAATCGATCTAACAATGCAGACAACTCTTGTCCCTATCATTAAGGAAAAGTGCGCTCATGTTAAGACAGTCTAAGGCATGGTAATCGATTATGGAGGGGTAGTAGTCTGGTCCAGGCTTCTGCATCAGACTACATAACCTAATTCTAGACTTCGACACTCAAACTCTTATTATTTATCAAACGAGGGGTGATAGGTGATAGTTGAAACAGGTAAACTCGAAGTTACTTTCTATACGAATGGGTGTCTATCATAGAGGTACAGAATTGGGTGTCTCCGCGAAGGAATATCACTATCGAATATCACCGTTCTTGTAGACAGTCAGACAACCGTCACATTAATTGAAACGGTTAAATTATGGAGTGTCATGATATGTCGCGTCTCATCAAAAAATATTGAGCATCACATGGTTTTTGTTGGGCTCTTATACAAAAAATGTTGTATATCCTCTTCTTAGTATAATATTCCAATTTCCATTTAGCTACAGATCGTCGTTTCGGGTCTTACAAATGCAAGAGATTTTTTCAAAGGATACGCCTTTTTACAATATGCTTCACATTACGAATAATAGAGCTTTCGAAAAAACGTTGTTCACTACATTCAGTTTTTTTCGATATGAAGTAGGTGCTGTTGTCTATAATATTTTTTTTTTTTTGACTAAAAGATATATTTACTGTGATTATAAGTTTTGCACGTTTTTTTAATGGTCACTTTATTTGGGATTTTGTCTAAGTCGGCTGTGCTTTTGAAAGCACTGGAAAAGTTGAGCTTATATTAACACTTCAAGCTTTATTGAGTTTACTGCCAATAGTTTACGGTCTTTGGTGTTCAAATCGAGGCGCCTAAACTTTATCCTGAGAGGATTCTAAAATTTAAATAACAACTTAAATAACTTAAGCTAATTAACATTAAAAACTCAAAACTATAAGCTCTATAGCTCTATAGCTCTGTAAACGCATACTAAACATAAATAAGTTCCAGTGAGATAAAATATCTGAACTAAAAATTTATTTCGATAGAATCCACAATAAAAGCCGAAATGTTTGTTAAGGAAAATCTTTATTTCTATTTACAAACAAATATTTATACTACTAAATAATTTATCATTTTCCATTGCCTTTGATAGATTCTTACTTATAGACAATTTCGTTTCCAAATAGTGGCTTCGTACAGTAATAATTTTTACATAGGACTAAAACCGATAATATAACCACAGATCCACACATTTAATTATGGTTCGATCCATTAACGTAAAAATGTATTCAAACCTTATTAAAAATCCATGTTTAATTAAAATAAACTGTTAATAAACTGTTTTGTTAAAATAAATGGAGCTTTTTCCTTACCTGGGTACATATACGTATTTTGGATCGCTTCTTCTTATTTTATTTAAGGAATTGGAATAAAAAGGATTTGAGTGGAGCAAGGATTATATGGAGTTTCAAGAGTTGTGACCTTAACCAACTGCGAAATAATTGTTGTAAGAAATCAAATTTTTTGCTTTATGAATATTTCTGAATAATTACGTTAAGAATTATTTAGGAATAGCAGGTGTGGAGATGTGGAAAGTGTTGCTGGTTCTACAGACTGGATTCAAGTTTCCACCTTACACAATAGTATAATCTGTAAATAAAGGTTAGTAAGCATAGCTGTCAAAATAGGAAATTTATTTAAAATATATTTACTTTGATGTCCAGTCTAAAAGAGTTGATGATATTAATGGCATAAGCGTTTTTTCCGCTTCTTGCCGGCCTTGCGCTTTGTTTTTGGCTTAGGGCTTAGCTTTGACTTACATACAGGCTTCTTCTTCTTCGTGAGACATTTATTTTTCTTCTTCTTTGCACTAGGGCCACAATCCGGAACAACGTTCTCGGGACTCTTCGCGGTTGGTCTTACCGGTCTTCCCGGTCTTACCGGTCTTACTGGTTGGTAAATCGATTTTTCTTCGGCCGTCAGAGAGTCCCACGCGGCTCTGCCAATTCTAGCAGCCTGAACCGCAGTTAAATGCGAATTGCAGCCCTGGAATGTTTCCAAAAAGTTCAAAAAACGTTTCTCCTCGCTTTGCATATTTGCACCTCGTAGAATAACTTTTTGTTGAAAGAAAAATGAACTTTATAAAAATATATTTAGCGATCTCAAATTCGTAACTAACTCTATACAAAATAAATATGAAATGATATTTTCAAATTCCACAAAAACAAATAATTTTTTCAAATTATTATGAGAATGTGATTTCATTCAAAAATGATAAGAAAAGTTAAGTATAAAATCAGTAGTCGTTCTTTATATTTGTTGTGAATTTTGATATTCGAGGAAGTTAATATGAGAGGAATTTGGTGTAAGTAATGGCATAAATTTACTATTTATAACGGGTCTGTTTATCCAGTAAGGCATATCACTTCACAATCACCACTACTATGCGGAAGGAACTTGGAAAGCAGTGATATTATCAAAGAAAACAAAGCACTGCGATCGAAAAAGATCTATCGTACATAGGCTTGTGTATTTAGGTTTTCTGTAAATCTTAGCAGAGTTTGTGGTTTATTGTTTCATAGCAAACGTTATCAGGAGGCATGTTATCTGGAGGCTCTTCACAGACAAAGGCATTATCTAAACATTTAAAACGAATGCACTCACAAGTTCAGACATCAGTGTCGGATAGGCCTAACTTATTTAAGTGAAATAAGCCCTGACTTATGCTTAGCAAAAGTGATTAGAAGAGCACAATCGGTTACTCTAAGCCGTGATATATAGACATTGATGTGTGTTTCAAATAGGATAAAGAAATGGGTCTCGATAGATTAAGTTTAATACTAGAGTTTATTTATGTAAACGAAGAGCATACATAAAATACATGAAGACCTCTGGGTCACAGGGCGAAATAGTAATATATATATAACGAAAGTGAAGACAAGTAACAAATGTTACCAGAAATAGTTTCAAAATTTTTATTGTATTAGCTTCAAATCTTATATCAGAAGATTAAAAATGTTTGATATAAGTGAATAAGTATTATTGTTTTGAAAACTAATCAAGTAATAATTTAGGCCTGTAATTCAAACAAAACTTCAAATCTGGATAAACTTTAAAATATTAAAAAGCTTTATAATTATTATATTTTTTATTGTATTCCTTTTATATTTGAAAATATTTTTTGTTCATTAAATATAAGTATTCAGAATTCCATAATAATAATAATCTTATATCGGAAATATAGGATATTTATTTCCTTGAAAATATTTTTTAAAAAGAATCTTTTGTATTTTGATTAACTGTCCAATTAACCCGTTTCACAAATTAATTGTGACAAATTTCAGTCAATCTCAACTTTTAGACAATAAAGTATATCAATTAATATAGATTGAAACCCCAACTTCTCTATATGTATTCCAAAATAGCCAGTCCATAGTTAAATTTAGAAAAATGAATCATTTAAAGAAGGTCTGCATAATACAAAAGAGAGAGGAGGATAATGGTCAGGTTAGTTTTTTTAAACCGACTATTAGAAGGGGGACTATGCAATTAATTATTGTGACTTGAAGATTTCAAGTGGCATCAGATTTGTTATACACCACCAAAAATAATTTTTGAATTATTGCGAAAATATTTTAGCTATAATTAAATGCATTCTTAATAAGTAATGACAATAGTCCATCTCGTGTCTATCAATATATACTCGTACTAGTGAAAAACCAAGTACTGAGATCAGAAACAAAAATTACTCGACTCAGTAGACGTTGATATGTTTTTGAATTTACTTGATTTGATATTTCATAAAAATTAAAATATTATCAAATAAGTTTTGTTTTCATTTTCCGTAAAATTTTTTTATAATTTTTTATTTTATATTTTATATAATTTTTAGCATTCATTCATAACAAAATTTTACAAGCTGAAGCTCTAACAATGTCATTTGCAAAAATTTCGATGTTTCTGTTTAAAAAATTGTTCAGGAAGCATGCAACAGAAGTCCTGACCGGCGGTGTACCAAATAAATATCAATACGAGAAGAACGTAGAACTTACTAAACCCATTCCAGTTTGTGCTCAATATCCGACACAATGTATTTCTAGATTCAGCAGAGTTAGGGCAATTACTTCAAAATCTGTTCCCCGTGGATATGGTGGTAGTCCACAACCAACCATGGGGAATGGCGAAACTGCCCGGATTTTGCGCAATTTGTCGTATTACACACACTGAAGTTATCCCTGGTCTGGTGATTGATGTTGTGGCTTGGTGTATTATAGATCTTTACGAGGATTCCGTCATTTAACCATAAACTGAATAACCGACATTGGTGTTACACAATGTTCGGAGAAATCTCTTGTCTTCCCTAACGGAGAAAATAGATAACAACATGTAGATGGTGGACGTGGGCGACATGGTTGACATGGTGGACAGAAAAGGATTTATAATACATCACGCAATGACATCAATCGTGTTGCTGCTGGAAAGACTTTCTGGTGTCGTGGCTTCAGGCGTGGTACTTTAAGCAGAAATTGTGACTTAGTGGTTATGATTCAAATATTTTTTATGCATTACTTAGCCTTAACGATGTATGATTTTTAATTTATTTTGCTACATACATATATTATGATCATAATATATAAAAGAATAAAAAGAATTTTTTTACTTATTTCGGCAAAGTATTCGCTTTCTATTTTAGAAAACTTTTTTTTATATATAATTATTCGTAAATAATTTTTTAAGACCACAAGTATCATAGCTTGAACTCTATTCTGCCAAATTTGAAGCTCAGAGTCAGTGTTCATTAGTCAACTGATCTAATTTGTTCAATTGATTGACCTTTACGTCCTAACTGTTCTGACATAGAGTTCTGTTAATTTGCTGTGAAAGCTATGGAAGCTGTAAATGTTTATACCAGCTGTAAAACAGTTGAATTAATGAATTTTTGTAGTTATATTATATATGTATATTATTAATTACAGTTAATTTTAATTGTTAAATTTTAATACTATTCTTTTATAGAGGCATGAATTCATATTTGAGTCTTGTGTATAGAACCCAATCTAGGATCGTAATAGAAAGAAAGAAAGAAAGAATAGAAAGAAAGTCATACTAATGTTATTCTACGATTCGCCCGTTCGATATGAAGTTAATTAATTTCGATTATTTAAACATAATAAAATTATTTATATATGAAATTACTCATTTGTTATAAATAAGTTTAAATATGGAACTATAATATTCATATCAGTTTTAGTGGTTAAAGTATTTATTTCTTTCAGGACTTTCATCGGGTAAACCGAATGTGTCAGTATAGATTTCAAAAGTTATATTATTATCAACAAGTTAAATACTTTTGAAATAATTCATTTATTAAAATTCAAATCTCAGCTAAATACATGATACCTTGGATATTATCTGTCACTGAAATAGTGGTGCCAAATCAGTACACATTATGAACAACCATTAATAAGAACTTCAAAAAAAATATAAATCAAAGAAAATAAATTTGGACTCATAAAATACGAATATAATATGGAACATTTAAATATAACATATATACAAGTATATCTCAGAATCAACCCAAGTTCGGCATATTGCGTAGTGGTGAACGTTGTTCAAAGCAACCAATTTTACTAAAATTTATTGTTTCATTCATTCATCACTACTTTTATTGTAGTTCTTTTATTTTAGTTAATGAATTCATTAATGAATGAATGAAATAAATATAACATCTAAATAAACTTTTCATTTACAATTTATAAACAATTCCCATAAGATATATATCTCGAATCAGAAAATAACACATCTAACAGTAATAAATGATAAATAACAGTCGCCATTTGATGGCATATTTACTAAATTAAAGTTTAGTTAGTTGTAGTTATCAAAGTTCTTAAATAACGTTTGCCTGTCATTAAACGTTAATACTGAAATGAAAATAGAAAGACGTTTTTGCTATGCAGCAGAATTATCTAGAACTCCAACGCTTGTTTCATTCTGAGCACTTGTAATGGTACTGAAATTACATAGTCTACAATATGTATCTTTGAATGGATATCTTAAGAACCAAGCTACAGCGAAATACATATAACTTACTGGACAAAAATGATCAAAATGCTGGTTGTCACAAAAATCTGTTATCGTTATACGACATTGGAGAAATCAAATTCGGTTTAACATTAATTTGATCTGAATTGTTATACCAAAAATAATGATTGATATAATGTTTCATATCTTATAATTGTATTCATTATAATTTATTTATATAAATAATATATGAAACACTTCTTATCACGTTTTAAGCCATTATAAGTTTTGCAAGTTTTTTGGATGGTCACTTTATTTGGGATTTTGTCTAAGTCGGCTGTGCTTTTGAAAGCATTGGAAAAGTGGAGCTTATATTAACACTTCGAGCTTTATTGAGCTTACTGCCAATTTCATTCCAATAACATCAAACTGTAAGCAAAGAACGTAAATAAACGCGAAGACCGTATTATAATACAATACGGTCTTTGGTGTTCAAATCGAGGCGCCTAAACTTTATCCTGAGAGGATTCTAAAATTTAAATAACAATTTAAATAACTTAAGCTAATTAACATTAAAAACACAAAACTATAAGCTCTGTAGCTCTATAGCTCTGTAAACGCATACTATACATAAATAAGTTCCAGTGAGATAAAATATCTGAACTAAAAATTTATTTCGATAGAATCCACAATAAAACCCAAAATGTTTGTTAAGGAAAATCTTTATTTCTATTTACAAACAAATATTTATACTACTTAATAATTTATCATTTTCCATTGCCTTTGATAGATTCTTACTTATAGACAATTTCGTTTCCAAATAGTGGCTTCGTACAGTAATAATTTTCAAATAGGACTAAAACCGATAATATAACCACAGATCCACACATTTAATTATGGTTCGATCCATTAACGTAAAAATGTATTCAAACCTTATTAAAAATCCATGTTTAATTAAAATAAACTGTTAATAAACTGTTTTGTTAAAATAAATGGAGCTTTTTCCTTACCTGGGTACATATACGTATTTTGGATCGCTTCTTCTTATTTTATTTAAGGAATTGGAATAAAAAGGATTTGAGTGGAGCAAGGATTATATGGAGTTTCAAGAGTTGTGACCTTAACCATCTGCGAAATAATTGTTGTAAGAAATCAAATTTTTTGCTTTATGAATATTTCTG